AAATTTTACAAACAAAATGAACCACTTGTATCAATCTTATTCTTCACCAAACCCCACCATTAGTATCAAATTATTCTATATAATCACTGAATTACTAATTCGAAGTTCCGAATTGAAAACCATCAATTAAACGATCTTCATCTGATTCTACGAATCAACTAAAAACTTTCAAATTTTTTAAAAACTTTCAAACTTTCTTAATACCCTTAACTTCCTTAAAAACTATCTCTTACCTGGATATGGCTATGCTCAAATCTCTCAAGAAAAAGGACTCCAGCTTCCTCAAGGAATTCAACATTCCAAATCCTAACTATTCTCGTGGAAGTTTTGGCCAATTTGGTTCATTAGTAAAGACTAAATTCAAAGAGTCTTTCATGAAATCTTCTGACAACTATTGTGGTCAAGGATTAAAAGAACATGCTGAAACTTTTAAATTGAATGCCGAAGAATTGTTGTCTAATGTTGTTGAATCTGCTAAAGTTTTATTACCATCTTCATTAAGTTCAAAACCTTTGCCAACACCTATTCGTGTCGCGGATTTGGTTAACGCTTCTGTGGTTATGCAAGCTCAACAAGATGCCTCTATTGAAAGAGATTCCTATCAACCTTATACTCCTACTTCTTTGGAGGATGAGGAGTATAATCTTTTTATGCCCATGAAACCTTCTCCACCGGTTACTTTAAGATCTTCTTCAACCAAGTCAGAAAATTTCCTTCCATTTTCTGAAACTGGATATGGTGATTTGAAACGAGTATTTCAACAAGTGTTGCCGGATTCAATTAGTGAATTTTCTTCTCTTGAACAACCTGAAGAATATACTTTAGACACTATTGCTGATAATAACTCATCACCAGTTGCAAAAAATTTAATTGATTGGGATAACATCGAGGAATTGAAACCACTATATGATCAAATGTTACCGGATTCACAAGGTCAATCTTCTTCTAATGCTCCTCCTGAGAAATATTATTCAGAAAATGTTTCTAATAATTTCTCATCAGTATCTAATTGTCAAATTGATTGGGAAAACATCCCGGAGTTGAAACCTCCTTCGAAGTCTGGTAAAAATTTCTCTGCTCCAACTCAAATTGAACTTAAAAATGATGAATGTGATTCTAAATCTTTAGAGCCTTTTCCAACTTTGGAATGTCAAAATCAAAACCAAAACCAAATTTCTTTCAAAGAATTTGAAAATAACGCCGTTGACGATGAAGTTTATGCTAATTCTGTTAAAAAAGTTAGAATTAGAAGTGTTTCCACTACTGAATTTGATTCAACCATCTCTTCTAAAGGAGAAAACTTTGGTAACAAACCTTTACAACAAATTCAAGAACCAATCTCAGATAATTCTATCAAGCCAATAATTAAAAATGAGACAAAAATTGGGAAAGATGATTCAGTTATCTTTTCTCCAAAATTAAGATCGAAGGTTATGGGTTCCCAAAAAACTAAAAAAGTTTTATTTAGTGTTAGTTCTGATGAGTCTGCCAAGTCAAGTAACTATACTGATAACTATAATTTTGAATTACCGGAAGAACGTTTGGTCTTGAAACAAGGTGCCAGTCCCACTGAAGTTAAAGAATTCATTACTCAATTCAATAGACCGGTTTCTATTTCTAAATCTAAATCAAATTACAACTTACGGAAATTTGATAATCAAGATTTAATATATAATGATAATAAAAAGTACCAAGCCTCTAATCAAGAAGCTACCTCTGCTGACTTAGTTACTTCATCCAATATCTACGATGATGAAAACAAAATTCAAGATTTTCAATCAGCTGTATCTTCTTCCGATAATGCTGCTTTTCAACCACCTATTGATTATGATTCATCAAGCATTTACAGTGATGAACCTGGTTATACCGGTCCAGCTACTACTGACAGAGGTTCTGACTACATGCCACTTCAACCACATCCTGATTATGATCCATCTAAACCATTACTTGATGATGATTCTGACCCATATGCTGCTTATTATGATCAATATGGCAACTATGATCCAACTGCTGCTCTTCAACGTGAATATGATTTTGATCCATTTGCTCCTGAACATGATCCATCTCTTGCTTTCCAACCTCCAACAGAATATGGATCCAATAGTGAGGGACATGCTTATACTGCTCCTGCTACTAAGAAGAGGGCAATCTATGAATCTTTTGATGAAGAATGTGGTTCTCAGGAGAACCCTAATCTTTCTGATGAGCAGGTCACCCTTACTTCTCTTTCTTCATTAAGTTCGATAAACATACCTCTCGGAGATGCCAGTACCCCAAATCAAACTGTTTTACTTGAGAGTGAAGAATTAGTTCCTGAAGTTGAACCTAAACTGAAGAAACATTTATCAAAGAGATTCAAGCAATCTTTTTCCAAAAAATGGAAAAGATTGATAAAGAAAGATAATTCAGAAACGGTTAGAGAACACAAGACTTTGAAAAGGTTGAGACGTTTTTCTCATTGGATAAAGACAAACAGTTCTCGAGGATCATTGGATTCTTCAAAATCGACATTAGTTGGAAGTGCTTCCGAATCTGATGCTGCTGTACCTAGCGTTGCTGAATTTGAAGTTGTTGAATCTGATAATGCTGCAGACTTTAATGCTGAATCTTTTGCTGAACCTGAACTTGTTGGATTTCATGCTGCTGAACCTGAACTTGTTGGATTTCATGTTGCTGAACCTGAACTTGCTGAACCTGAACTTGCTGAACCTGAACTTGCTGGACCTGAACTTGCTGAACCTGAACTTGCTGAACCTGAACTTGCTGGACCTGAACTTGCTGGACCTGAAGCTGCTGAACCTGATAATATTATTAACATCGATAATGTTCTTGTGTACGCTAGAACTGTTAATAAATTCGAAGACCGTCCAGACTCAGGATGGTCTACGGACTCAGATGATTCATATATACCAGCAATACATTGTCATAAGAATCTCAACCGTTTGCAAAAGAAAAGGGATCAATTTAGAAAAGAAGCAACAAAAGATGTGATTATACCTCCGGATGACCAACCAACTTGGCCAGATAAATACGGCAACTGTACTGTTACGTCTGAAGCAAAACACCATTGGATTAAATACTGTGTTGAAGTAGTTCACCATAAAACCAATGTCTTGTATGACTTTATTGACAGCTTCCCAGAAAGGGTAGTTGAAATTGATGCAGAAATTAAAAAATCAGACATAAGACATACTGAAATTTATGCATTAGCTGAATATGAATCAAAATTTGATTTCTACATCTTTGATATCTTAGAACGGTTATTTTCTTTAAAAAATTTCTTTCTAAGTCTTGCAGAAGGTAAGGAACATGAAGAGTTGCTTAGGTGTACTGGTAATGAATATGTTGCTGTTCACGAACCTGTTTTCAAAATATGCTCAGAATTAACTCAGGAAAGAGAATTTGTTGATTTATATACTAAATATAAATCAGATCGCAGGTTCCCTTTTAATTTTGATGCATATACTGCCAATATGTGGGCATACGTCAAAACAAGTATGTCAGACATAAGACAGCTCAAGGAAAGCGAAGCCGTTTTCTATAAAAATTTCAATGACTGGTATGAGTTACGCTATTCTGCTGATAAAGTTTAATAGAAACTGAAATGACTGCAAAATATTGAATTGAGAGTGTTTCTAGTGACTAAGATGGCTAAGGGACAGGACAATAAGGACAAAGGACAAAGGACAAAGGACAAAGGACAAAGGAACTCAATTGGCTTAGCTCTAGAAATACATACTCAATTTCAATACTAGCACGATTTTTAAGTCTAACTTGAATAGCATAACTTTGTATATTTAAAAAAAATTAAAAAAAAAAATTAAAAAATTAAAAATACATAAAAAAACAAAAAAAAAAACAAAAAACCTTATAAAAACAAAAAAAAAATACTTTCATTTCATTATATTTCTTCTTACTGACTCTCAATGATTGTTAGAAGTTATCACAATTTCTGACTTCATTTTACTTTACTTTATTTATTTATTTACTATTTACTTATTTTACTTTATTTATTTTACTTTATTTATTTTACTTTATTTATTTTACTTTATTTATTATACTTTAGTTATTTCACTTTCTTTTATTTTTATTTACATTATTTTATTTTAGACTTATTATATGCCATTGATTTCTCTTCTTGCTTGTAGCCTGTCCAACTCCCTAGTGGTCTCTATCAAAGACAAACTCACAAAAAAAAATTGTTGCAAAAAAAAATCACTGAACCATTACTAATACATTGAACATCATTGTTGAACGGATTGATGAATCTTCCTTGATCTCTCTTGTATTTTTAGATGCTATTCGTCCCGTTGATGTCGTAGGGTGACTCTACGGGAGTATTGTCTTTTTTAAAGTTTTGTATATTTTTGAAAAATATCAAAGAAAAACTGGTATAAATGTTTAACATTCGAATTCATAATTCAAACCAAGTCTCTAGTTCTTTAAAAATTTGAAGAATTTAAAAATAAATATTCAGATGGGATCGAAAACAAATTGAAGCTACACTGACAAGACTCCTTTGATTAACTACCCACTTTTGCGAGTCTATTCACTTTTAACTGGAAATATCAGTTTCGCAGCTTCAACTTGGCTCCAAATTTCCTAATTTGAGTTTGCATTCTTTCATTATTATTCAAACCATAAATTTAAGAAGCTGACCCTGATATATCTGATTACATTTAAGTTTGCAGTGGCCCCAATTAAGGTAGATTTGCTGGATTGTCGTTCCACCATTGCCAAAGTCATATTTAATCCTTCACAAGGCAAAATTGCAACCAAGTGATAAATCGCTATGGCTCATGTTTTTTAAACTTGAAAAAGCTTATTGAACGGAAAAGAGTCAGCTTGAGTTTCTTAAATAGGTATAGTACCAATTATTGCGTATCACGATTTTTTTGCTCGAATGAGCTACTTCTTGAGCAGTTGCAATACTACTGATCTAGGTCAATCCTAGTTATTTCAAAATAACTCTCGAAGAGGTGTCAAAAGCAAAAAGAAAGGGGGCGAGCTGGGAATTGAACCCAGGGCCTCTCGCATGCTTGGTAAACTTCACCGAATCGAGTTGCATCCATTCAGCTCTTTAAACAGCTATAACCCAAAGCGAGAATCATACCACTAGACCACACGCCCAATCGATGAAGAGATGTATTCTGCCATAAAACCAATTGAGTTTGGGTCTCTTCGTGTTTTGCTATGGTAACGAGAAGTATTTTTAATTTTGACACCATTTTGTGGTTTCTAGACTGGCACTTAGCCAAAGCAGTAAGAAAAATGCCTTATGATTTTCAATGATACAATAAAGATATATATTATCAAAGCCAGATCTCAAAGATGGTGGTTTGAAGACCCTAAGACTTCTGTTTAGATCTCGAGTTATCACTTCAGTAAGGTATATTCTACTTTTATAGTAAGCTCATAGCCCTTGTATTACATATAAATTAATGGGAAGTTGCAATATTTTCAATTTTTCCCCATGTATGAGAAAGTTGCAAAAAACAGTTTTCAGGTTGCAAAAAAAAAAAAAAAATAGAATAAAACACTACAAAAACAATATATTCAACAAGAGTAAAAAGGCTAGCTTAAACCCTCGAATATATAGTTGCGGAATATTGTAAGCTGAAGCAACAATGGTTAAAGTTCAAGTCACATATTGGGCTTGTGCTTTCTCTCATCACTAATTTAAGAAATGTCTCGAGTTTGTATTCAGCATCGTAATAAAGCTTTCCACCCAGACCTCGTGTTGAGTATGTGCCATATTAAATTAGTATGGTGATTGTGGCTGCAAAAAAATTTCAAACAAAAAGAAAAAAAATGTCTGTGTCTTAAAACTCAAACCCAAAAGAATAATGAATCCATGTTATTCAATATAGCTATCAAATCAATCCAATCAGCTTTTTAAAACTGTTGAAGGTACGTTTCATTTATATAATGAGTGTTAATAGGTCCATGAATTGAATTCATTTCAATTTTTGGTGACCCCAATACTCAAAAGTCTCTCTGAAGAATAACTACCGGGATTTTTCTTCCTCTCAATATCTTAGCGGCATTGATCTGTTCACCTTGATCATTACCACATCTCATAATTGTTAAAGAAATAATAGCTGATCAAATGCTGGATATCTAATCCCTCCCGTAAGTTTCTTTGTCCATTCTGACTGGTTGAATAACTATTTTCAAGAAAAGTCTTCAAAAAGGTGAAAGGTACTATTCCTTTCATCTTTTGATGGTGACTAGCAGTTTGGGCTAATTTAGGTCCAATTATTTGGGTATTATCAAATCAATAATCTTGAGATTTATTAATGAAGTGAAAATTCTAGACACCATTCACCAAAAATCCAATGCTTTCAATTGCCTCTATGGTAATATTATATTTTGATGACTTCTAGTTAGATGATTGGCCTTGGTGTTTTATCTTGAGTAAGTATTGTCCTGTCCTGTCCTGTCCTGTCCTGTCCTGTCCTGTCCTGTCCTGTCCTATATGTCCTGTCCTATATGTCCAGCATTTTCCATTGATCTTGACTTACTCTTGGTAAAACATTAAGAATATTAGTCTGACTGGTTGTTGTTAATTCTGTTTGAAAGGGGGGTTTCAAAATTTCTCTCTCCGAAGTATGCTATCGAATTAAGTCATTAAGCTATAAAAAAAATAATATTGAACATGAGCTTCTTATAGTCCTGTCCCGTTGTCCTGTCCTATTGTCCATTCCTTAAATTTTAGAGGCTTATGTTCTGGTGCTATGACTTAATTTGATATTATACTAGAAAACAACAAAATTTCTTGATAGAAAGAAGCATTTGAAAGCATTACATTAACCTTTACTCAATACGGTGAATATATTTTTTAGAATTGATTTTCATTAATACTTTGAAAGATTGTTTGATTTGGGTTACCCATACCTGCTAGTGTGCCAGCTTTTGCTTGAAAATACTTATTCAGCTTGTTGGTTTGTGATGATAGAGACTGGGGCGGGATTGGATAGTGAGATGTGGTCTTCGTGATCAACGGGGTTCAGAGGCTGCGGGATATTGATGTTGAAAAATCTGAAGGAGTTGTTCAAATGACAGGCAGAAGTATGGGGCCAAGTTGAAATGGATTATAATTTGGTGGTCCTATTAAAAGGATTTATGTAACTGAATACAGACCAATAAATGGTTTTACAAAACTGAATGATTTAGGCTTTTGGAAATGTCCTTTTGGTACGTGAATACCTGTTTATTAACAATTGAACTTTTTAGTATATAGACATTTATTTGAGTTTGTGGGGAAAAGGATCAAGACTTGAGGTTGCAAAAAAGTTTTTTCTATTTCACTTATTGATTAAGGAAAAGACTTAATCATCTTCTTTCTTTATAAGACATAATATTGATCCATTTTTTTTTTTTTTTTCAATTTTTTTTTTTCTATTCAACTTTTTGAAGTTGAATGGGTATGTTGATAACTTTATTCTTATATTTTGTTTATTCATATATTGACCATTTTCATATCATCTATCTACGCTTGTGCTGGAGTATTCCCTCCCTTTTTATGAAATTGAATTCTGAATCAGTTCGTGAAATTGGGTATTATTTTGAATCGAGATTTATGCTGCAAAAATTTCACTTCAACTAGTGCAAGCCCTGGTGAGTTATTACATTTTCATTTTTTCTCTGAAGAGATACTAACTTGTTTATTAGATCACTCGACTCTTTTTTCTATTCAACTTGTCTTTTTAAGTTGAATGGGTATGTTAATAACTTTAGTTTATCTTGTTTAATCACCATACTAACCATTCATATCAATGAGCTCTGTTGATTCCGAAGTATTATCCTCGTTTATTCAATTGAGTTGCATCGGTTCGTGAGATAGGGAGCAAGTTTGAATCAAGATTTGCTGCAAGAACCAGAGCCCAGGTGGTTTTTCTGAAGATACTAGCTTGTTCATTTCTGATTACCTTTTTCTTTCTATTAAATTAAAAGATAAGGCTGAATGGGTATGTTAATGACTTTATTTAATCAACTCTTGTTTATTCATACTAATTATTTTCATTTAATTATCATTTATCTTTCTTAGTGGTTATCTTGAGTTTAGTTGCCTTCTGTTGAATTCCGAATCAGTTGTTGAGTTTGTTTAACCAATACCCTGCCCAAAGGTGAATTAACTTTATCTTTGAATAGTTTCAGACATCAGGTAACTCTCCAATTGCTTAACGGTCTTCTATTGAAATTCCCTTCAGTCATCATACTAACGGGGGATCGATTTTTTTGTATATAGTTTCTGTAGACTTATAGAATAGAATATCCCCTCCAGGAGGACCCCATGAGCCCAAGCGCTGAACTTACTACACTGGATCAGGCATAACACATTGATTAATACTTATTATAATAATGATCATTTGATTCATGATTTTTAACCGATTTTTCTAAATTGATTGTTTTTTCATCAGTGTTGATCCAAAACTGATTCTCTTCAATGACCAAGTTGAGATACTTTTCATAAACAATCATATTCTTAACCACCAACAAGTGGAAGTTCTTTGTTATTTCATCAATGGTTTTCTTTCTTTCTAGTATCTTAGCATGATCCCTTTTGAAATCATGATTCTTGAATTGGGTACTATCGATATAATTGACAATCTTATCGATGTCCATATTGGCCATTTCAATCAAATTATTATAAGCTTGTTTAATCTGGGGATACTTTAACAAGATAATCTGTTCCTTTGTCTCCACCAGTAACGGCTCCGAGGCCGCCTCCTCAGACCCAACAGACGCAGGCAGGTCGTCTAGTTTCCCCCATAGCTTCAAGTCGGTCAATATGTTATTAAGAGTGTTCATCTCGGTGTTTTCTTTATAAAATTTATCCAAACGAGATTGAATACTAGCTATTTGGTCCATTATCGATTGGTCCTTGGATGTAGATGTGCTGCCACCATTTTCCAAGCCCTGGTTAGCATTGAGCTGGACCTCAAGACCAAGGATCCGCGACTGAAGGCTATTGAACGTTGTCTGATCCATCTTTTCCCGTCAAATAAAGACTAGTTGGTGGAGTTGACGGTGAAGCTTTTGATTCTCTCAGAAATTCATCAAAACAAACACCAGTACATCCCGGTTTTTTATATACAATCGATTAAATACCCCTTTAGCCTTAACTACAGACGGGATTTCAGACCGCTGGTCAAGAGCAACAGTTCCCAGCAGCCAGGAACTAAATTCACCGTAAAAAGGTTCCAAGGCATGCCACTGCCGGAGCTCTTGCGTGAACAATAAATGTCAATGGCCATCGAACGTTTCTCAAGCAAGTTTCAGCCGTTCCACACTAAAGTTGATGGCCTGGTTACTCAGACACTGAACCCAGACCGTGAACTACATGTTGGAGGATTGCAAAAGCCACTAAGCGTGTAGTTTTGGTGATTTTAGTGCTTCTGGTAATTTTGATAAGTGCTTGAACCATCGATGCTTGGATCAAGACATCCCCTGCAATTTTCCCAGCTTTCGGTGCTCCACCGGGAAGTCCTCGTTTCATCCCTTACTCTAAGCCCTTTCGAGCAGCCCCAAGGTGTCTGGCTGGTGCCAATGGTGTTGATATTCCCAAATTTCAGGGTCCATTTAGTCCCCCCCGGCAAAAAAACGCACCCGTGCACCCACAACTATAAAAACCAAAATAGAAAAAACTGTGACACAACTTGAAATTTGTCTGCTTAAAAGAATATAAATAAAAGGATAAACGCTGATATTCCTTCTTGTATGATTGAGTAACCGTCTTTGTTGGTATCAATTGGTTATATATACCGTGGTAAACCGAGAGTATTGTTGTGTGCTAGACTGTTATTCTGGTGAAGGCTTGATTTTGTCCCATATCAAGCTGTTTTGATCCTTATTTACCGAAGCTAACTTTGGCATTTGTTGAAAAGGAGTTACTTGTTCTTCAATTTTTTTATAAAGCGAATTACTTCACAATGGGTCTTTTCACTCCCCGTAGGGTATGTTGATAGGTTTGCTGTTTTTCTTGCTTATTTTTCGTTGTTTTACTAACAAATTATTTAGAAGAGAACTGAGATCAGTCAGGGTTTTAGTAAATATACTGATGAAATCAATAGGTATCAAGCTGGCCAGCCGGATACTTCGAGGTCGAATCCAGCCAGAACGCAATC